ACACAAAAAGGAGCATCTATCTAGTATCCTATCTATATATGCATTTATCCAAGAGGGAGATCATGTTCTAATTGCAAGTTGTTTTTGTGGATTATTTGGTGATCTCCTGATGTTCATCGTTTTATCACGCGTTATGGACCACATCTATACATATTGGTATGCTCGCTGCCTTTGCCCTGTTCTCTTTGTTTTCCATGTCTTGTAAGTAACGATCAACATCCTGTATTGGTTCATAGCTAAAGACCTGGGTCGTTGAATTTGAAGACTCTGATGTTTGATTGTATGATGTGGGTGGTTTACCTGCAACTATTCTACCTGCAGGTATATGATATGTGTTATCCCTATATATTCTCTTATGGTGCATTGTTCGGCAGGATTCTCACATCGTTGGGCCGGAACAGAAAGCTACCGCAGCTACCGTAGACACGTCTGTGGGAAGCAAGGCACGGGCGAGGGGGTTCTCTCCAGTGCTTTTATGCTCTCACCATTGCTCCACTTGATTTATCCGTCTTTGTTTACAGGTTTCATTTTCTGCTGCTGTACATTGTCGCTGAACAAACATGTCCATCCCAATGTTTCAACACATTTTTCCATTATTTTTTCACGTCTCGGTCGCACATGTGAAGCCCCTGATTTTGGAGGGAACACAGCCAGTTTGAAATTTTAAAATTTTCCAACTGGGATGGCATTTTCTAAGCCGCCCTTGATCGCTCTCCCCCCAGGATTTCCCATACTCTTGGCTGTAAATACCTTGAAAACATCCTTTAACCAATGCGTCAATTCAACCTTTCTCATGTTTTTTGTTGTAGGATGTGAATCGCCAGAAATGCATGATGCATGATGTCGGATTGTCGGATTTTCCAGGGAGCACATCGAACGGAAGCTGTGGAAACTTCGAGAAGAGTGAGCAGAATGCAGCAGGCAGAGGGACTGCCTTGGTTGTGGTGGTTTTCGGTTGCCTTACACCTCCTGCAGGTTGTATTTTTCGAGCGAAAGTGCCGGTCATTTGGTAAAACCCTAGCAATGACCAATGCCTTGTTGTACCTAATAGGTGCATCGTTCATCATTGTTTATCGTTTTTGGTAGTCTGATGTATTGGGATTTCTCACAGCCACATTTGCAAGCGACGTGCTCCATTTGATGTGGATGAGTTTCTCCTAGTTTGCTTGGTGCGAGCAAGAACGTTCGAAGTTTTTTTACCCCTCCAAATTGTTTTTATGGAACATGTTTCACAAAGCCTGGTTTTGTGGGCGGATGCCTCAAAGGGTTGGGGGATTCCTTACTCCCCTAGGCCTCCATGCAGTCAGAGCCTCCGAGCCTCATCCAGGAGATGCTGCTGGTGAAAGGGCTGAGTTTTCCTGGCAAAAATGGTACCCAACAACCAACAAAGAGATATACATACATATATAATCATATATATATATATACATTTATATAACCAGCCAAAATGAGGTCACAAACATAACTGAAAACATCAATATAGGGATTTGACTTGACACAACAAATGTGTAAGATGTGTAAGCAACAAACATAGGAACTTTATCCGCACATCTGAGAGTGCAAACAAGCAAGCATGGACATTGACAGTCTCTATCCTAGGCATCCTAGGTGCTGTAGCTTAGCATGCCAATCCTGAATCTTCTTTATATAAACTCTTGTTGGAATTCCTAGGAGTCTAGATCATGATCAATCTGATTAATAGATCATTAATCCTCTTCTATCATTAATAGATAATTAATCCTCTTCTATCATGAATCTAATAGATCATTAATCAACCTGATTAATGGTTGCCTCCCGAACTCCAAAGAAGTTTCAGATTAGGGGGCCACGGCTGCAGGAGAGCAGCGCGAGTCCTCAAAGAAGCCAGGCGAGCTGTCAGCATGGCTGGTGTTCTTTCTCCGGATATGTGGCGTAGATCCCCATCAAATGACATGTTCATATGATAAAACTATTGTGTATATATATACACATTATATACAGGTAACAATATATATATATATATTGCGACTACATGATGTGGTGGTATGAGAAATGGTTTATTTCCCAAGTTCGTTCCAGTTGTTGGTCTTTCATCCTTCACCTTTTTTTTGGTGACTATATTTGTCGATTCAGTGAAAGAGTGAAACCTCTAGATCTGTTGGTTTCAAATACGGTTATGATTGCGTTCTGAACTCGTAGAGTTGGAAAAAGGCTGAAAATCTTTGACTTGGGGCTGATCATCTTCCAGTTGCCCTTTTTTTTTGTGTTAAACCTGTTCGATGAGATCCTGGGGTAGGTCTTTTTTACCGTGATGGGACATGAACCTTGGTGCTTTTGCCCCATTGCGAGTGGCACTCTTTGCGATTCATATCTTGTGTTTTGTTTTCACAGCTAAACGACTGGGTGGTTGAATTTGAAGACTCTGATGTTTGGTTATGTGATGTTGGTGATCAAAGAAATTCACTTGCCTCTGGGATGGGCAACCCATGTGATTTTCATCAAGATTTGGAGATTTTAGCATGTTATAAGTTATACTTTTCTGAGCATCAACTGGAGGATTTGGTCGTCGATGTTCGTTTTTGTTGACGGAACCATCCACCATGACCACTGGGAACCTCTTGTTTTTTGTTCATCGAGATGGTGTTCCAAAAAAATGTCACCAACGCTAGGACTTGTGGAAAGAGGGATGTACCGACCATGTCCAGCACCTATGTTTAAATACATTGGTGTATGCATGAAACAATAGATGTATAATTTATATCCGGTAACATTAATTAGAAGTGTTCAATCATGTAGACAGACACATATACAGTCAATATATATATGCGTATAATTAATCTACAGGTACGGTATGGTTTAATCCATATAAAGGTGTTCAAGTGCCAAAACGGTTGATTGTGTGCCTTGTTCTGCAGGCTTCTCACATAGTCGAGACAGAACTACCAGCTACTCTGGACAATCCTGCGGGAAGCCAAGCCAGAGGGTTCTCTGTTTTGAAATTAACAGTTGGATCGCTTCAGTGTTTGTTGCTTGAAAGGCATGTTGTATGCTTTGACCATGACTTATATACTTATAATATCATATAATTATATATATATAATATATATAATTATATTATATTATTATAAATAGAAATTACCGCACACGTCCATATTAAACATGTGTTTGCATCATTTTCGCGTTTTTGTACAAGTCGCGGTTGCACATGTTGAACCATGCATCACGTGACAGACGTGCTTCCTTTGCCAGGGTGCACATCCAATGGAAAGTCCAATGGAAAGTGTGGAAAGTCCGAAGACCAGCCGAGTGAACACGATGCAGCAGGCACCGGAAGAGGGAACAGTTGATTTCTTACCAGATGGCCGTGTCGTTTTTTAAACCCCCAAAACTGAACTCAAGTCTTGACAGGGTTTATCATGGTTTATCGATTGGTGAGCCACACATAGCCAGTTCGTGTATTTACTGTGTTCCACAATTAGTGATTGGTGTGCTGTGGGATGCAACAGGGGCTCTGCAAAGGGTGCTTTGTCTGATATGTATGATGACATGCTCCACATGTCCTCTGTGCAAGCAATCAGCGTTGCATTGTTACAACGTGGCGTCCCCAAAGATGTTTGAGTTGTTGTTTAACAATTACCTCATATACCTCCAATGGGTTTGCGATTTGTGGTGGATATACCATAGTCTATTCATTTTGTAAAGATAAACCAGTTTCATATCATCCCCCTAATTTGTGGTAACAGAGACCGCAGTGATCCCCCATAATCGAAAAGGTCGTCGTTCAAGCCCCAACTCATAGCAACATTGGGGTGGATCGTGGGCTGCAATCGGGATGTCACCGGCAGGGTCAAACTGGCCAAAAATGGGGACAACCACCAGGGATATTTTTTAGATAGACAGTCAGGCGGATGGATGGATAGTCGATACAGAGAGAGAGAGAGAGAGTTATACATAGCCAGGAAAAATAGGGGCATGAGCACAATCATGATCAGTTGACAAGCCAACATGAGTGCGTCATCAACACATTTACCGACTGTACCTGCCAGCAAAGATGGGAGTGAAACAAGGCAATTGGAGAAGGGAGTGTTGCCATCTCTCGATACTAGAGTTTCATCATGGCAGCACAACTTATCGACTAGCATTGTGATTCTCAGCAAACTTGGGAACTGAATGCCTCCCAAAGATTACCCTCTGGTAAGCGTTTACATAACTATTGAACATCACCATTTGTTCATGGGTAAATCATGGTAAATCAACTATTTCTATGGCCATTTTCAATAGCAAACTGTTAGTTTACCAGAAGGTATCATATATACTTATATCGCATATCCATCATATTTCCATTTATCTCACATAAATCCGATTAATTTCCCATTTATTTCCCATTAAATCCAATCTATTTCCCCTTAAGTTCCCATTAAATTCCCATTAAATCCAATTTATGTCCCATTAAATCCAATTTATTTCCCATTAAATCCCATTTATGTCCCATTAGGTCCCATTTATTTCCCATTTATTTCCCATAAATCCCATTGATTTCCCATTTATTTCCCATTCAATCCCATTTATTTCCCATTTATTACCCATAAATCCCATTTATTTCCCATTGATTTCCCATAAATCCCATTTATTTCCCATTGATTTCCCATAAATCCCATTAATTTCGCATTAAATCCCATTTATTTCCCGTTAATTTCCCATTTATTTCCCATTAAATCCTATTTATGTCCCATTAAATCCCATTTATTTCCCATTAAATCCCAATGTTTGTAAATCACCATTTTCCAATGGCTTTTTGTAACGCTGACCGTGGTGAGTCCATCGAGGAACATAGGGACCATCCAACGTAACGCAACTGATCGGAGCCCACAGTTGACGCACCAACGTTTATCCTCCAAGTGGGATGACGCGCTTAGTGTTCGTTAGAATTTATATATAATATAATTATATTAATGATATGTATATATATATATCAAATTCCCAAGTGGGATAATCCTCCAAGGTAGTTCTACAACCGCAGCCTCTTTTCGCCTCGTTGTAGCTGGCCTCCTTCCGTTGACCATCGGCAGCCATGGCGCTCCGACGAGGAAATCTCCTGCTGCCCTTGGCCGCGCTGGCGGTCGTGGCGATGTTGAGCAGCTCCATGGCTTTCTTGCCAGCCTGGGAACTCAGATGGTTTATGGGGGCTTCATCTGGAGCAACATGCGGAAGGAAACTTCAGGGACAATATGGGAATATGTCATAGAGGATATCATAAAAGGTAGGGATTATGGGAAACAAATGGGAACATCATATTGGCTGGCTGCAGATGTGGGTTGCGAGGACATTGGATCTATCTCTATATACATATATATCATATCATTGTATATATATATATATATAAATATATACATTATGCTTATGATTTCTTTTGCAAATAGATATATACCACAATGATATCATGATATCGGAAAGATGACAAGCCTCTGCCTTGTACTATGTTGGTTTTGTCAAAGAAATAAGACGCCTCAAAACACCCCTAAAATCCACTGTTTTATCTCATTTTATACCGTTGCAATTAGACCCCCATATTTTATTGCAATTAAAAGCTGTTATAGTTGGGTTCTGGGTAGTCAAATCCCAACTTTAAAGGCACGTTTATGCAAATGTAATGTAGGTGACATTTTCTAGGCAAGTACTGACTTTTCCAGTTCAACCCCCACTTTTTTGGTTGGCAAAACCACGCATTTCTGCTACTCTCTGGTAAACTGTCACATAACTATCGAAAATCACCATTTTGAATAGGTAAATCAACTAATATCAACTATTTCTATGGCCATTCTCAATGGCTTTTTCTATGTTTCCCAGCGGCTACAGCGTCACCCCGTGCAGCGACGGCACCGCCAGGTGCAACGCGTCCCACCCGCCGCGGCCGCTGTGGCGGCCGCGACGGCGGTGTCCGCGCCGGCCATGGCAGAGGAAGGCGGTGGATTGTTGGACTTTGGCAAGGCGCGGTTGTGGAAGCCACGGACGTATCCATGGGAAATCCATGGGAAATCCATGGGAACATCATCATGTTTAGGTGAAATATGATTGCAGATGGTATAACAGCTGGTTGGTGGTTTGGAACATGAATTTTATGACTTTCCATACAATTATATATTGGGAGTCGGAATAATAATCCCAACTGACTCATATTTTTTTCAGAGGGGTTGAAACCACCAACCAGATAATATACTGGTTATACAGTAGTATATGCTATATATGCCTTTGCTATGTTGACATTGAGCTTGTGTTTGCGATATACACATAGATATCTTGAAATAGGAATAGAAATACCCAAAACATATTTTGTATATATATATATATACATCTCCGTATGGTTATTATGCATATATATATGATTATGATTTTAGATCATGTATATATTTAAGACTGTATGACGAACATGTTGGGATCCATCGGGTTGCCAGGCCAGAAACGTTATGCTTGTAGCCTTCTTAGGATTGGTTACTGGCTACGGAGTTTTTTTGTTAACTAATTTTTACCAGCCTATAGTTACTATATGTTATTATAATATTTAGCCTAATAGTTAGCCTAATAGTTAGCCTAATAGTTACTATTGGTACCTTTTTTGGAGGGATTATGAATTAAGCCCATAACGGGAAAGCAACGTGACTTGGGCTTGCCGCCATTGCCATTCGTTTTCAGAGGTGGAACTTGGTGGCGGCTTCGCGCTGAACTTGTACCTTGGTTGGCCTGGGGCCTTGGGCCTTGGTTTGGTTGCTAGGTCTCCACCTGGTAAATGCTGCCAGGGCTAATGCTGCCTTTCCCAGGACCTCTGGTGGCAAAAGTTCGAGAACTCTCATGAAAGCTCGCATCTGGAGTTGATTTTTAGTAATTTAGTAGTTGATGATGTCATGTCCTGTTGTTTGATCATTAATTAAGCGCCGTCTAAAAAAAACCATCCCACTAGTAGAGCTAGAACTAACCAGTATTTGGTTCCTCTTGCCTTACTCTCCAAATTGCCTTTATTTGTGGATCTGCCGCATTTTGGCCCTTGGCCTATGCTAGTGATTGCAACGGACAGAAAAAGAGACACAAAACATCTGTTTTTGATGGTCCATATCCTCCCGAAGTAAACTTAGTAAACCTATCCATGGCGGATTTTTTTGTTCGTCATTCCCAAAGCTGGGGCCCACCTTTTTGTGTTCCAGTCCGAAAATTTCGAGGAACATCCCTGACATCAACCTGATCAACATCTCTATCCTCATCGTCACCCGGCTGTGACATGGGATGGTGACAAAAAATATGTCGCCGACCGTTGACCGTTGTGTTGTTTGGTGGATGAAGCCTCTTCAAAACGATTGAAGCGCTTGATGTTTGAATGTATCTCGATCCTTAGTTAAATCATCCATGTGTATCCATGAATTCTTCTTGATGATGCTCAATTTTATGTAACGTTATCATTCTGCTGTCTCCAAGAAGTGGTTGAAGGGAAATTTACACTAAACCAGAGAACACCTGTAGATTTGGTGCTAATATCTATGATTTCCTGTAAAACTGCCTTAATTCAAACCATTTTTCAACGCCTTCTCCATTGTATTCAGATGTTTGTCCGACGCAATATCCCAAAAGGTTGGATTTCACCATAGATGAATTGGAATGAACTGTTTCAAGCCAACTCATGACCATTATCATTTGATGATTCTGAATCTCTACTAGATTTCGTTGGAAGACTAATTCATATTAAACTATATTAAACATTATTAAACTATATATATATAAATGTCATTTTTTATTATCGCCCCAACAAATCCTGTTGTTTCATGGTTTATTTTCACCCCAAGTGTTTGGTCCCAAGGCCGGGCTCTTCTACTTTTTGTCCCCTGTCCTTGGCGAGTCAATGGCTTCGCGTGAGAAGGATCCAGGGTTCCGCAGCCCGAATTCTTTGGAATGTCATCAGCTTTTAACATGGTTTTTCACATGTTAAACACCTCTATGTTCCACCATTCAGAAATGATGGTTTGGGGGATTTCCGTACCCTCCTTTAGCGGCGTTAGACTGATTGTGTATCCATTGGATCCATTGCAGTATGCAGTGGACCTTCAATCCTACAATTGTTAGTTGTGTTTGTTTCACTTGTTTTCCACCAACAATGGTGGTACGAGCAAGATTGTGATTTTTGTTCAGCGTTGTTTAAAAGGCAACTTATGGTTATTGTTTCATGATATCTCGACAAATATCTTTGTTGTGCAAGAAAATATACTTGAACAAATTTCGGCAGTCAATTTAATTGCACAAAATAGAAACAACAAGCAGTGCTGCATCTGTATCCTTGATTTTGCGGTCTAGGTACACAAAGCATGTTTTTGTTTGCCGGTACCATTGATGAATTGTTTCAAACCAGCATTTAACCCCAAACTCAGCCCATGAATGTAGCCAATGCATATCAACATGTATCGCTTATGTACACAGTTGAAGTTGCATTCCAAATCCCCAATACATGTAGATATTTCTAGCACGCAAACTTGCTAATGAGTTTCAGTACTTAAATCAACAAGATATAACATTAACCTGATCTTTATAGATTTTTTAATGTGTGATTAAACATTATTAGAGATGACATGTTAGTGGTATAAGATCTAAAGCCATCTATTGAGGTTATTAAAGAAGAAACATGAACACACATCTTGAACCGAAGTCACGGCTTGCGGCCAGGAGATCAAGTCGGATATCGAGGATGCCATCGCCAAGTACAACGAGGCGTCGACATCCGGAGACCAGAAATGATAGGCTGGCTGCGTGAGTGTACGTGTTGTCATTGTTTGCATAGATATATATATATATATATATTATATAAATATATTTATATATATATTATGTGTGTGTGTGCGCAATATATAGATAGGTTATACACATAGGTTTGGAACAGTTTACCCATCCGAGTACATGGGACATAGACAGCTGAATGATGGGCAAACAGGCTTGAAAGAGATCACTGTTCATAATATAATTCGATAAATAGATAAATAAACAAATGCATAAATGATATATGTTTTATATAATTATATATATACAGATACATATATTTCCCAAGATAAAGGCAAATTCATTGGCTGGAAATCATATTTTAGAGACATCATCATATACCTTTTAGACATATGTAGTCATCCCCAAATAGACGGAACTTTATTTTCATTACCAGATTGGCAGGGATCTTCTTTTTCCACCATCCGTGTTGCCCAGGCCACTTCTCGTTTGGCAGAGGCTGAGAAGAACAAGGCCCAGGCTGACCAGGCGAGATGCCGGGTATACCTTGGGTATATATCTCGCAAGTGACAAGTTTAAGTTGCCAATCATGATGATGAACCACCAAAATTTGGGCACGCCCTTGTGTTTTTTTTTCAAAAGATGTGGATCTGTTGGCACCCCATTTGTGAGGCATAGCCGCATGCAGGTATATAATTAGCTGACACATAGCAGACACTTGAACAAACCAGCACTGACATCAAGCAGGTTGTCAAGGAGATCAATGACAGCATTGCCAAGGTGTTTTGGGCTGGTTTGGGCAGGTGAGCCGCTAATGTGCGAACATATGGGTGTGGCTGAATCTACGGGGTTTAACAAGCAAAACATGGATTTATAACGATTTATATATATATATATATTTTTGGGGATACAGCCAGATATAGAATATAGCACCACAATATATGATTGTAAAACTGGGGGATGGGCCCCTCAAAATGACAAGTTTCATTGGGTATCAGACAGGCCCATATAGTGGAGAGTATTTCCATGTGTTTCCTTTCAATCTCCATCATTGGGGCCCGAATCAACCAATATCTGAGGGATGGCTCAACTATCAATGAATGGTGGACCTTGGAAATTTATCTGAATGTATCGACACAGTTTCACTTTTCTGACATTTAAGGACTTGCGACTTGCCATTCCGCTCCGAGATTTCTTAGTTTCATTGTCTGAAGCAGCATGACTCTGCCTTTGGAATGTTGAACTCAAATTGCAGTGCACTGTGAAATTGGGGGACTTTCCCTGCTGTCAACCTACAACGTGGTGCCCCCTAGATAGCTAAGTTGTTTTTATTACTAACATGACTAGAGTTTGTGGTAAATACATGTGAATACTGTATATCAATGGTTTGCATTGTCTTTTTCCGCCCAACAAACATTTCACTGGAGGGCACCCTGTGTTGCAATGATTTCTTTGCTGTCTCGGCTGCCAAGGACATTGCCGAGTTCCAAGCAAACCTGAAGGATCAGGTGTGGCGAATAACAATGAATGGCACCTCTCAAAAAAATCGTAAACCGTCCTTTTTGGGATCTTCAGCACAGTTGCAACCATGAGTACCAAAAAGGCACAGGGGTCCTGATATTGCCAGTTCCAAATCTCAAAGTAATATTGATAGGTCATAAGATTGGCTTATTACCTCAACAACTGATCTGCAAAGTCTAAAGTGTCAAGACAGAGGCAACTTTCGCCTGCACGATTTTATTCATTTGTCCATTCTTGTCGGATCTTGACAACCGACATCAAACATCTAATGTCATATCTCTTTTGTTAGCATGATTATGATGATGATGATGATGATGATGATGAAGACCAAGGCAGAAACCAGGTAGGATGATTAACCAAAAAATGTATTCAATTAACATTGTCTCAGTATATGTGTCAATATAGGTTTCATTTGTTCTGGTGATATTTTGTTTCAGGTGATATGTTCTATTTAAACTGAAGAACCACTGGAACTTTCGAACAAACTTGTCCTATCACATGTTTTACATGTTTTTGTTTTTGTGTTTCACATATTTTCCAGGTGAACCATGTTGTATTTCTCCATCCCGGAATCCCTTTCAGGCCCAGAGGAAGATGGAGGCCCAAGATAAAGCCCAGGCCAAGAGCCTCAAGGCCTGGGACTTCCTTAGGCCCTAGGCCATGATGGTCATCCAATGTCATGACAAAACGGAAACCTCCATTTAACTGGGTAAATTTGATCACGACCTCACTGTTCTCCCTCACTGGAATCATGGTTAATAAGAGGAATCATCCCCAAATGGCCTTAATTCAGGCAGGGACCGCAAGAAGTTGGCGGCCTTAATTCAGGTTACTGAAATATTATAATTTACCCAGATTTAAGACATATTTGAATCGTAACTCGTCCTTTTTTCGGAGAAAAGGTGAGGATAAAAAAGGCGCCAAAACTCGAGTTTAATCACCACCGAGCAGAGGGAAATTCGAGCAAGAATATGGGTCTTATTTAATCTTATTTGCATGAAAACTGTAAATTAGCAATAGAGTTGGGGACATAGATATTTTGACTGATTCCCTGTAATCCGAACTAATTATATAATAAGTATGACCAGAAGTACCTGGATAGGGAACCCAAAGCATTTACAGTAAGTTTGACCCCTGCCCATTTGGACACCGTCTCATTGCACTTTGTTTTTTTCTATGCTCCGAAAAATCACATCCCATACTCTAAATGTATGTATATATATATATAATAATAATATATATATATAATATAATATAATATAATATAATTTATATATATAATAATAATAATAACAATAATAATAATGATAATAATAATAACAATAATAATAATATATATATATGGAGGTTTCCTAAAATATGGGTACCCCTAAATCATCCATCATATAGATGGATGTTCCATTCTAGAACATCCATTTTGGGGATCCCAACGAACTTTCATATGTTTCAGAGGGGTAGGTCAACCACCAACCAGAACATCAATATCCTTTCCAGAAACTTGAAAACAGTGATTTTCCATAATTAGGTACCCTCCAATAAATTAACATAGACCCTGGCAGTCATCGGGGTTGGAAGATGAGTTTCCATTAAACATGGCATATTTTCAGGGTCCAAATGTTATTTTATGTATTACATATAAAAAAGCACCTCTCCATCTCCGGGTCCCGTTCAAGACATCTCAGGATCTGGAGGCTCGGACTCAGGAGAGCTTGAATCAATTCATTGACTCGCAGGCGAACGGCACAAAGGGGTTAATAAATAGAGATTTTTTATGGAACTTTGATGGTATGTTAATGGAACTTTTCTGGAACTGTGATGGGCGTTTTAGTGGTGTTGTTCATGGGTTGTTGATGGATTTTCACGGATTTGTTCATGGAACTTTAACGGAATCATATGGGATCTAATCGTTATATAATTAATGGAATAAACCCTACTGAGGGGTGCAAAATCTCGGGGGGACATATTCATGGCTATAACCATGGCAATATATATATATATTATAGTAGTATATGGTAGTAACAAAGGCCATAAGTTGGGATATAACATGATATAACCCATGCAACTAGTCTATAATACTATGGTTGTATACCTAATTAAACAAAAACCATAAGTTGGGATATAACCCCTGTAACTAGTCTGTCTATAATACTATGGTTATATCCATTTTTCTCAGTGAAACTGTCCCCCCACTTGAACTTTCCTAATTCGGAGCGTTCGGTGTATCATGGTGCATCCCACCTGGCAAGTGATCGGAATATTTTGTGAGCGCTTCGTGAAAAACGTGGATGTGCTTTGTTATCATATCATATAGTGTAGCATAATATGAAATAGTCAATGAGTCAAATATTTGAGTATAACTTTTATGACAATATTTGGTACACTTTGATACACCATGATATGATATAAAACAATCATGGTTTAAATAACTTAATTTCATGTTGTTCAATTGACTATCATGAACTGTGGTTTACTATTTTCATATCCACTTGATATACTATCACGTAGGTTCATATCTTATCCTAAAGCATCACCCATTGTTTAGTTCTTATTCAATTGAATCTGATTTCAGATAACATAATTCCAGATGACAAAATTATACGTGTGTTCTTCCATGTGCTGGAATCAATATAAACTTTCAGCGACAACTACTGAGAATTTAAAGCCTGTAGCATCCCGCTCCTTGCTGGCAAGATCGCCCAAAAATTCATGGTTAAGGTTATGTCCCATTTGTTCTGGGGTAAGTCAATTTCTCCTGAGTAAATGCCACCGTTTCCGATGTAAACTCCGGTATAAATTCAATTTTCTCTCATGATTTTTCATGTAAATCTCAAGATATCTCAAAATTTTCTAGGCTAAATCGAGTTTTTCTGTTGTAAAATACCATGGTTTTCCTGGCAAAAGCAGCATTTTGGTCCAACGTTTTCCGCGGCCAGGCCGTAGAGCGAGGTCTCAAGGAGATCAAAAGCCTCACTGCGGCGCAGAAGCCACGAGATGTTGCAACGGCATGGCGGGGGTGGGAAGAAATTACTTCGAAATTGTGGGTAAAACCCCATTTGGGTGGTTTATACATGTTTATACCACCTATTTCTGGTTATGATCTATAAAATCACATGAAATCACTATAAATAGTGTCTGGCTGGTGCTTTGGAACGGTTTGGAACATGATTTTTTATTTTTCGATAATATATGGGATAATCCTTCCCATTGACTTTCATATTTTTCAAGATGGTTAAAACCACCAACCAGAAATCGTTCTATAATATTCTATAATGTGTGTAAAACAATAAACCACCCATTTGGGAATGGTTTATATTATTTATGGTGATTTGGGGGATGGTTTATTATTGTTTTACCTACATTAATGATAATATTATAAGAATATAATATGGAAAATTGAACATATCTTATGGAATCATAGTTATAGAAATTATGTAAGTGGGAATTATATGGAGGTTTCCCATATAGGAGATAGTGGGTATATCTGTAATGGCACTGATCTATGATAGTAATAATGTTGGCAAAGTAATAGTAAAACTATGCTATTTGGGGATGGATCATTGGGCTTACCACATAAACTACGGGAAATTGGAAATATATGGGAAAGAAAACTATGATCTACAATCACAATGCAACATATATGGGAAATCGATGAGAAATCATGGGAGTATAGTTTATGGACATATACTTATGGGAAATATCAAGGTTAGTAAAGGTTTAAGCCCGCAGTACATGGATGGTATAGACCATCAAAACAGTGATGTATTATTGTTACTTGACTAATATCAATTACCTCTGGGAAAAATGCAAACATATCGGTGATCAAAACTATGGGAAACATATGGGACATATATGACTTATAATATAACATTATATACATATATGTGTACTACTGCAAAGACAAGAACAATAGTATGGGTACTTCAAAAGATGATGAGATTGTGAAATATATTTGGAAATCTATGGGATTTTGAAGTTCTTTTTCTCACAGTGAACTGGAAGGTTATCTTGGTAATCAAACGTGGCAAGGAAAATCTCCCATTTACTTTAGTGATTTTCCCAGATCGACACCTCCATTTGATTTGGGGATGTGCAATTCTTATGTTTGATTACAGGTATCCAGAAATCCTCACATTCGGGTATGGGAAATATGATAAATATGTTGGAAAGTCATCTATACCTGGGGATCTACTGCGCTGGGAATATATATATATATAAATCGATATATAACTACTGTAAGCGCATTGGAGTTGGTTGAAAACAATGTGAAATATCAAAAAATGATGTGAACGGATTGGTTATCAGATGGTGATATAAACGCCGGATTTGTCTGAAAATAGCTATAAAAACTATACTCAAATAGTAGTCATTTATCCAGAAATTATCTAGCCATTGGTGAACGGAGGGAGGCTTTTCGAGTTATAGGTATCCACATTTCCTATCAAATGGAGAGCCAAGGAACTACCCAGAAGTTCCCAACCTGGTTTGTCTGAAAATATGGTAGCCTGAAATTTGATGGCTGATCGTGATTTTTCCTAATCAAAACTGGCTGGTGGTTTCAAACATTTTTTTTTCATGTTCATATATGGGATAATATCATTCCCATTGACTTTCATATTTTTCAACATTGTTAAAACCACCAACCAGAAAATAATCACATGGCTATTTATGGTATGCAGAAAATGTTCAGACACTCCGACCATAGATCATGTGAGTTGATGACAATTATTCTCAGTTGGAGTTGGGGGTTCAATACGGTATTATTGTTTCAATGGGATGAATTGATGTAAGTTTGATTTGTAAAGACTGGATCATTAGAGTTTTAGTTTTTAAAGGATTGTAAAGGTCCAGTTTTCCCATGTGTTTAAAGGCTAAAGTCATCATCGTCCATATGATATTTCAAATTGAACAGTGGCCGCTTTCGACACCCCCTGTTGTTTGAATAATTATTTCCGGGGGTAGACTCATATTTTGCAGTGGTGGGTTAGTCTCCTATAAATGTCGCACATGGTGTGTATGAGAGATGATGACAACAATGGTGACAGAGTACTCGTAATTCCCCTGGAAACTGATTCTTGCAACCCCCAAACAATTGACCGGGACTCTAGAATGCCAAATCCCGAAAAGGGTAGTTTGCCATTAAAACAAAAATGATCATGACTCATCAAATCTATAAATGACTATGTCAATATATGTCAATTATGTCATGCAAATCTAATTTTAACATGTGTTTTGTTTCTGGAACTCGTGGAGAGTATGTCCTTCACGGGACCGAGAACGACTCCTGGTCGGGGTGGCATTTTGGATCGGTGCAGATGACGAGTGGTTTCAGTTTATCGTGGGAAATCATTGGAAATCCTGGGCTGGGTAGAAAGGTGCCACAGATAAATCATGATAAATCTTCATGTGACGATGCGCGAAAACCAGACTCCGCTCACTGTTTAAATTGGCATGTCTCCAGTGTTTTAATATTGACAGTATCACATTTGTCTTGTCACTGAAACACCTGCATTCACAAATGTCCTATCAATATTATGGGGAAGGATTTATGATCTTTGTCCACAGAGACCGGTTCTCTTGCTGCTCAGATACCCCAAACAATTGCGGACCCTTACTGTACCTTGAACAGCTCTTGGCAACCCCCAAAACATTTAAAACAAAAAACATATATCATATATCACTATTTTAGTATATTCTAGTAGGATGCGTTTCTTTTTCTGTTTCGTTGTGGTTTACTTACACTATATCCATGTTCCAAGGTCGAATGGCCATCGAAATAGACTCCCACAAGTGCCACATCCCAGGTCGAAGTTTATGGATGCTGCCATTGCTTCCTTGTGAGCAGGTTTAAGGGGTCACCAGAGTTATTGGGTCAACAAAGGAAAAAACAGCTAAGCACCATTAGGTCTTCAGGTGTAGCAAGCTGCAGTTTTTGTTGTTGCCTTCTTTGGGCAATGATAGACAGCAGTCCTCAATATTTTGAAAGACGGGTAAGTAGCTCGGTGATGTTTACTTTGTTTGGACTGTGAGATCCATCAAAGACAGTTCATTCAAGAAGTAGCATATTATCGTACTAGGCAAGAACTAATTTGGGTATCTGCCAATCATAGAAGCAGTAGCAAGGCTTCATATGAAACTCATGCTATTTGCTTTCTCAACCGCACAGGTGCCATTGCAGCAATCAAAGGGAGCAATGTAGAAACTAAGTTAAGATTATTGACGCCCTGTAGTACTGTTTTTTTCCATGCCAAACAGGACCGTTCAACTCCAAGCAGACCACAAAACCAGAAGTGGTCCAAATTGCTTAGCTTGTGTTTTCCTCCAAAGACAGAAAGCCGAGAATGAGAACAAGGAAGGAGACAGGAAAAAACAGCAAGAGCCATTTATCATTTGTTCCAACCTTTTTTTGGAGGAGAACAAAGCGAAGATTACGAAGTCTCAGGGACCTTTAGAGGTCCGTTGCCATAGGATTTGGATGTCGTCTTCAAAAGGTCGAACTGTCTCGATTCAACTAACTGAAAGCAGCTGCAGTTGCAGCGTAGAATGCATGTTCAAATATGGTGTGTATATATATACATATACAATGTATAATGTTGCTTATTGTTGGTAGCGTCCTTCAAACTTCAAATACACAAGTCAAAGATTTCGTCATACGCCTCAATGTTTGTTTGCTTCACGTGTCTTGGTAAGACATCCCCAAATCCTTGTGATTCTCCGGTACCGGGCGGACCATTCGTCGAGCTGGAGCAATGCAAGGAAGAATTGCATAGCCCCAGTGGCGAAGAGCTCGTTGACAAAAAGCCGCGGATGAGTACCTATCTAGACATACCTAGACCTTCCAAGTACCCATAAAAAGTCTTGTTGTACCCCCCATATTTGTGGTTTTTACTTTTTTTTTAGATACAGGGTCCGGGTCTACAGTCATGAGGATTCAACTAATTGTCGCTTCACCGCGGAAAGTTGAATTCCCATGATACCTTGGGGATGAGTAGAAGGGGTCCCAATAGGATAGGTGAGGGGGTTTACAATCTCAGAGAAATGGTGGATAAATCTACAGTTGGATTGGTTTCCAAAGAATTTACTACTGAGCACCATCTTCCACTGAGAATTTCGGTGAGGAAAGAATCCCGCCGTTGTTTTGGACAGATTTGTTGAGTCCTGCACTCAAGCTTGAGCTTTACATGATAGTTTTGTCCCACAATCAGAGAAGCCCAACAACTTTAGATATCCTCCCATATGTTCCATTTTGATGATAGGGTCAGGGAAATCCGTTTTTGGTGGTGTTTGCCCATACTGATGCCCATTTTGGATTTACCCATATTGGGACCCTCCAAGTATCCATAAAAATGAGTACAAGTCCCAAGCAAATGGGTATATCATCCCATTTTCCTAGGTACTTGGAGGCTCTACATAGTTACCCAACTGCATAGGCACTCCGTCAACCTTTCAAGGGGGTCGCAGGGGCCGTCTGTGTTGGTGCAGGATGCGCTTCCCACACCTTCAGCGGAAGCTTTTGAGGCGTGGTCGGGCTGTGCAGGGCTGTGCTTTTGTTCCAGAAATGGGGCCATACCTATGAATACCCCAGGGACAATTGCATTTTTGAGGGGGTAAATGGTCATAAACATGCATAAACCATGGACACTGGGGGTGCCCCACTTCGAGACATGCCCATTTGGGTGTGGATCCCATCCTTTTAAAAGACCCTGGGGCCATGGCTTCAGTTCAGTGTTTGCGTCAGATTGGTTTGGTTTGACACACTAAGCTTCCAAAGAAAGCGATGGAATTTGGTACTCCTTATGCAGGATCCAGTATACAATGAAGTCCACTTTGCTGCAAAGATGACTCTTGAATTGACTAGAATTGATAATCCGCATAATTTTGTACAAACAATGGCATCGCAGCATCACATTCTCGACAAAATTGCATCCTCCAAAAAGATGAAAGCTTCCAATCTGTCCATCATCATTTGATAGCCGTGTGGCACACCGTCAGACGTCAGGCACTCCAGGCCCGTTTCCGTTCCAAGATGCAGGCGCCCTTGCCATGGTAGTTTTGTGGTGGTCAGGAACTACAAGTGGAAGGGAGTTTGATACTAAAGATTGTGAAGTCATTGGGGTGATGTTACCAATTTTTCCAGCAAACATAGGACACACATGTTACCATTGGTTTTTCATGACATCTTGCGCTTGCCAGAAACCGGTGAAAAAAACTGGTCAGAAACGAATGAAAAGTGTCCAACTTGGAGATTTATCCGGTGGGTTGGTGGTGACTGGAACCATGGAATTTTGAATGACTGTCCATATAATGTCAACCCCGGATGAGACTAAACCATGGTTTATTAATTAGGGGGGTATTCCCCCAATAGTCATTATCTGATACTTAAATGGTATCCCCCCAATTAAACAACCTAGGGGTTTATTAATCCAGGGTTGACATTATTGGGAATGTCATAACCCCAATTGACTCATATATATTTTTTTTTTTTTAAGAGGGGTAGGTATACCACCAACCAGTCACAATTAACCAATGATTAACCACCACTAACCACTATTAACCACTTTTTTCCAGGTGCGTTGTGAGAGGCTATGACTCGACCATGAAAATGGGTAAATCATCGTATTAAAAAAAAGACGAGCTCACTGCTGAGTCGCCAAAGCCCCAATGGCTAGTGTTATGCTCAGGGTTACGTGTTTAATTATATTATATATAATCATGTTTAATTATATATAATTATATATAATACAATTGTATATAGTTGTATATAATTGCATATAACTATATAGGATTATATATACATATATATATATATACAAATGATTATTATATATATCATAATCCTATACAATTATATACAAATATATACAATATATATACAAATATATGTAATTATATATAAGTATTTTAAATTATATATATATACATATTACGATATTATATATATATGTAATATGTATTAGATCATGGATTATTATATGGCTTAATTGGTGTTTGTGTGTGTGTTTCTTTCGATGTCTGTGTCGTTTTCTGATTTGGTTTTTCATCCCAAGGGATCAGCACGGTGCAAGGAGAAAGACGAAGAACATCGGAAAAGCACTGAGGAGAGCCTAGACCGCGGCAATTCACGTGGCATCTTGGGGTTTTCCGCGGAGTTTCAATCATGTTATCCGCTGTTATCCCATCGTATCCCCGATGTTGTGAATAAATTGAACATATTAGACGAATCACCCACCCCCTTTTATGGGCTGCACAAAAATTTAGAGGACTATTGTTTTCGTGTTTTTTTTTTGGTTTTTGTTTTGTTTTCCAGCCTGCCTTTGTGGTTTCTGTGGCTTTTGTGGGTGTGTGGCTTTTGTGGCTTTACCATGTTTTGCCTATCTATCTATCTATCTATCTATCTATCTATCTATCTACTGTATCTATCTTTCTATCTATCTATCTAATCTAACCCAATCTAATCTAACCAAAGTATCTGAAGTATCTGAAGTATCTAAAGTATCTAAAGTATCCAAAGTATAGTATCTACCTATCTATCTATATATCTACCTATGTCTATATCTATCTTTATACACACACACACACCTTGTATCCCTACATGTACCTTAATCCAACCGTCAACAGACTTCACATAGACCCTAAACCAACCCTAAATAACCCTAAATATACCCTAAACCAACCCTATATAAACATATATAAACCTTAAATAAACCTTGAACCAACCTAGAGAAACCCTAAAACCAACCCGACATAACCAACCCTAAATAGACCCTAAACCAACCCTAAACTAAATAACCTTAAACCAACCCTAAACCAACCCTAAATAAACCCTAAACCCACCAACACTATGATAGCATCCAATGCCACTATTTAGACCCAACACGGTTGTGTTTCAACCTATATTCTACATGTTCACCAGGTGCATGTTATGCAAAGAAAAATCGATTGAAACCATGGAAAAATCAATCGTAACCATGGAAAACTCAATGAACACCATGGAAAAAAACGATGAACACTTGGGTAAATCAATGAACACCATGGAAAAATCGAGTAAAACCATGGGAAAAAATCGATGAACAGTGCATATGAAAAATTTTAGCTCCAAAATTCAGCAAAGTACAGCCAAAAGACAAAGTCGTTCCTTTTTTCAAGAAATGACTATATTTAGTTGCGTCAAAACTTTCCCTGGAGGTCGTGCCTTTTTGCAAAACGCAAGCGAAGTCTGGTGATCTCAGCGCAACTATGTTTTTAAGTGTTTTTGTGTTTTCTCTTGCGCTCACCTTGGGTTTAGGTATCTACTTAAAGTCTACTTGTGCCATAAAAAAACAAAAAAACACATATGCACCCAAAAATGATAGATCCAGTTCAAAATCAGGGGTTTCACATCATCCGCACGTGCCAGCGAATTGGACCTCTGTTTATCTTCGTTCCGTTGTGGCATTTGGCTATCATCGCAGCCTTTCAATGACACTTGCACTTGTCAGATAGTCAACACTTGCTACTATTGATTGATTGCCGAAATCATCAGTGTTGATCCGATAAATGTATTTTTTGGGGGGGAAATTTCCGTTGCGCTGAACGCCTCTAGGATTTCAAGCGACAGTTGCAGGGTGATTTGGAAGCACTGAAGGACAGTATTTTGCTTTTGTTCTTGATTTGTCATTGTTTGCATGCTGTTCTTGCCGTGACGGAGTCATGTTGCTGTCGTAATTAATCATTGTCCATGCTTGGTGGCACTTTGCCTTGTAAAAATGAGGTAGGTATTGTTAGGCTGTTAGTCATTACCAGAGGGCAATTGAGTTAAAATGATGATCATCCATGGTGAGTCAAACCCACTGTGCCGCTTTCCCTTGAGGATCAGCATGCGCAAGAAGTCGCCAGTATGGAAGATGCCTTGAAAGACCGGGAATCGG